TCATTTTTCACAATTTCGCGTGTGCATATGCCAGACCAAGATCATATGTTGGCCATCTCTTCCTGCAAGGTGCAGCACATCATACCATTAATCTCTCACAACAGTATTGATGTCACAGGGCTAATGCGTGCTCGATCTGCACAAACATTTATTGTCATCTGCAAAGTTTCTCACGTTGCCGCTGCATCTGTGGACAGCGATGCAATCGACGCTCAAGACACCAGCGCATGTACTGAAAGTTCAACAGTACCTTTTTCCCCATGTGTGCATTTTCCGATCCGAAGCAGCATGGGGCGCGGTCACCAACATATGTTATTATCAAATTTTTTAGGTGGCTACCAAAGACTGGGGGCGGCAATCCCACTTGGCCGTGAGCCTTGTGTGAAAATTTGGCATTCACGAATGTATGGGTGTCCTACTCGACGCTCAAGCTGTTTTGACTATGCCAACGTGTCCTGAGAAATTAGGATCTTGCCAGCAGATTAAGACGGGAAATTGCAATCTGAATGATTACGAGGGTATCTATGAGCAGGTTGGTTCACATCCACTGCATGCACACACTTCCTGCGCCATATGCGATCAGCGCCAAGCTGCCAACATATCATGAGTGAAATTCAATTGGTTTCCTCTCGCACAGAGTCTGCCCACGCAGCTGACATTTGCAATGAATTTTTCACCTGCTTCAGTCATATTGCGATGCACTCCTGATATCTAATTCGTATGTTATGGGATACCATATAATAATCAACCCTTCTGCATTTTGAATTTCCACAATTACGCTTTTGCTCCACATGTTTTCAGAGCCTTATGTTTTTGTACTGTTGCTTCTCAAGATTTTTTTAATGTTGCTCAGCAAAAATTTGGCCTAGTGTTACGTTGATATGTGAAGGGCTTATGAAAATAAACTATCTTGGGCTCTGCCTTCCTGTTATCCATCGGTTAGGTCTTCGGGGCTCGTGGGGCAGTCCGTCATCCATACTTCGATGCAATAGGCAATGGGCATGATGACATTATGGCCATAAGCGTACATGACAAGTCTGCGACACTTCCGCAACAATGATGTGTCTTCTTTGCCCTAGTGCGTGCAACGAATGTAGCTTCCCATTTCATTGCCCTCCCGTTGACTTCCTAATTCGTTCGTGGCTTTTCCAAGGGAAAGGAGTCGCCTTTTGATTTTATTCCCATGGAGATTGTATTTTATGTGCCAATATGCTGTCAATACCAAATACTTGCAATTGCGCTTGGTCGTGGGCATAATCAACGGTGCATTGTCCAATGTATGTACCGCACGGCACCTGCTGTCTCTCGCATCCAATCCCATCGCTCTCCGCAACGACACAGCTTCTCCCTCGTAGAGGGCGATTGCATGTCCCATCAAGCGGAACAGAATGTGTTTGCGTCTTTGTGCAAAACCACAACTATATGTGGTCCCAAAACTACACAGTTAGTACACACATTGACACAGTTTGACAGGAAACCGTGCAGTCCCCACAGTTGTTTCAGGTACACAGGTGAAATTGTGTCAATGTGTGTACTAACTGTGTTGTTTTGGGACCACATTTGCCGAAAGTACACGGTTGGATTTTGAGCAGGCTGTGTCAGGACTGTGTCATCTGGCCTGTTTTTTCCTAGTGATACGTATGCCATGTTGACGCAGGCATGTTACATGAAGTTGTGGATAAATGATCAGGCTGCCGCTGTCTTCAGCACCCTAAACACAGCATCCACCTAGCCCTCACGAAGGGCAACGGCGTCGCCCAAAAAAATTTTACCCTCTACCCAGCTTAGCGCATCTCGATTCTACACCCCGGACTCCCTGATGCGCTCCTCGCTGCCCCGCATGACTGGGCCGCAGTATGAGCAGGTTACCTGCAAATTTTTATCCGTTGTAAAGTGTTTGGATGCCAGCTGTGTGTCCGTTGTGCACTGTCCACAGGGCCCATGTTTATGCTTAACTGCACATAAATTTATGAAAACTATGCTTGGGTGTCATTGCACGTAAATTCTCGAAGATTTAGGCGCAAACGACAAGCTTGAATGTACTCACCTTGCATGGCTCGCATTCCGGCCGGACGCCGGCAAGACTCTTGATTATCTGACTCGGACTAGCCACTTTTTCGACGAGTTGAACGGAAGTCGACAGAAAATCACAATCAAACACTCAGTAGTTCAAAAGTGCTTACAATGGATCCACTGGTTTTAATCCATCCACAGAAAATGCTGCAAAAGAGTGTCTTCTGCTATCCCAAGTAACCATGTATACGGGCTCAAAATTTTATAATTACCTTGCCACGATTATTCCAATGATACATCAGTTTGCGGTGCCAAGAAGGCTGGGCGCCTCAGCAGAACAGCAAGCATACACACAGTGCAATCACATAGTGGCCATAGCCAAAAACTCTGCCAAAGCAGCGCAACGACAATGCACTGCGATTGCCTCACAGCCACACATAAGTTGGCATACTGCCCACTCGCCGCTCCTTGTGGCAAGGGACACGGAAAAAACTGCCCTCCTGCAATCCAAAGGGCGCACATATGCAAGCTCCAAATGCCGAGGGTCCACGCGTGGACACACATCGCAATCAAATCATTATCGCCAGCCGAATTCGTCAATTCGAATGCAGCTCTGCCACCCTCATCCTCATCACCGCCGCCTCCAACTCATGCACGCCATTGTCAATAACCTGGTGCTCCCATCTGCCCGGCGCCAATGACCAAGAACATTTGCTGCAGCCACCCACAGCAGCTTGAGATACTGAAAATCTGAGCCTCGAAAAGCCGAAGTGGGTGGAAGGCTGCTGCATTGATTTCGCACCTGGTCCTGTCGCACAGATATTGATGGTTGGCCACAATGTGTTGGTTGATTTATTCACTCCTGTTATGGCTTTGATGAAGAAGAATGGCTTATTGATCGGCGTGAAGATTGAAGGCATTTTCTGAAAATTGCCGAGAGGATACAAACCACCTGATCCCAAGTCATGCGTTACCCCCCTTTTCCCTTTCAAAGAAAGGTCTGCACCAAGACACCTGCAGGTATCATTTTTGCTGCCCCCCAAATGTACATCACCTTGTACTAGGCCGTCAAGGTACCTCCGTTTCCATCTCCGACGCAGCATTGACTGCTTTCCACTATTATTTGGTCCCTTCTCAATTCCGAATTCCGACATGAGCCAGCCAACATTTCAGCGAAGCATAGCGCCATACCAAGCAACATCCCACCCTCTCTGCCCATGCTCTGAGGAGAAAAAAATGTATTTTCCATCAACCTCAATCAAGGCAGAGCCTATGTCCACCTTCCAGTTGTTGAAAACAGTCACGAGGCCAAAAAAATCTGATTGACTTGCAGGTACCTGTGAAGCTCATAGCAGACCACTAATCGCTGCGCTGAGACTCCGGAACATTGGAATCCAGCAGAGGCGAAGAGGAATTGGGACGACCACCTTCAGTTCCCGGAATTGTCTCAGGGCATTACGGTCGACCCACTAATGGTTCTGCAATCATTCAAACGAATCGCACCTCGGAGGCCCTCTAATTTTTTCAGCAGCACCACCACCACCACCCTGTTCCAGTATATGAGGGCAGCCCTCGTATATATATAGCGATAGCCGCTATCGATCTTCAGAATGTGCAAATCTCGATTAGCGATATCAAGCGGGGGAGAGGTGGTGCTTTAGCGCCTGATCTCCCCGTCCCGTTGCCTTCACTTTGTGGCGCTCATCCCTCCATATTTTCCGCAAGCCTTTCATTGCAAAAAGCACAAATTTGCTCTATACCTTGCAGAAAACCCACACATCAATTATCCGCGTTGCATAGCTATTGCGCTGCCACCCGCTCCCAAACAGACCACCAGGTGAACATTTCTTTGGCCCAAAGCCATTGTGTGGAGCATACACCTGCCCATGCAGATTTCCACATTCGTGCCTGCATCGCCAAGTATGAAGCTTTTATTGCAAGCCAATCCCTGCGCTTAGAGCACAAAAAAGATGCCATACTATCTCAGTCCATTTCCATGCGTCATCATATCCATCATCAGCATGCCAAGCACAAAATGGAATTGGCGTCAAGGGCATTTATTTTGCGCCAATAGCGCCCTCAATTGCCCATCAACCTCAGCGAAAATTTCCCGGCCAGTTTACCCGCAAGTTACCCCGTCAACGTCCCAGTCAATTCCCGTTATCGTTCACCGACGCTTCTACTATCAAAATGCACCGACAGGGGGCACTTAAACCCGTCATCTGCCCATGGCACCGCGGCCTCATCATCTCCCCACCCTCTTTGTCAGTTTCATTCTCTGGATGCATGGGGCTCCTGAAAATTCACCCGCTTTCGCTACAGAATTCCAGGAACATTTGGCCCAGACAACAAGCAAAATCACCGCAAGTTGAATAAGAGATGCAAGATCCGGCGTCGAAACTCCAAATGCGAGCATCGACAACACCTCGCAGCGATGTCCGCTCCCAAAGTCACATCTGGACCTCCTTCCACACGAATCCCAGTTGCGCATGCATCAATGAAATAATATCTAGCTATGTGAGATCCGTAGCTATGTATAAGTCAGTACCTATTGGGATAGACCACCATCGTTTCCAGGCCACGCGTTGCCAATGTGCAGGGCTATCAACGTGTGTCTATGTGCCTGATCGAGTATTATTGCGAGCGTCATGTGCACCTATTCCGAGAGCGCCTCATCCAAGAATTTGGCCTCCTGATCTATGTCCACCGACCGTCAGTCACGCAATACCGAATGACAATGGGCACTCGCAGAGCACCACGGCAATTTACGAAAATAGACTGCTCCATTCTGTAAACCAAAAAGGGGGGATGGTCCCACCATTCCTGGACATCAAATAGGGTCCTTTCCCCTTGATCCATACAGCCCAGGGTTAGAAGGTGTGCTGTCTGTCTACTGAAGTGCCCTAAATCGACCCTCAGACCAACTGATCCTGGTTGAAAGAGCCGTGCACGATCTCCGGCCTCAGGCACTTATTGAATGGAGCGCGTCACAGCTCGTTGCGAGGCTGTGCGCCACCGTGAATGTGAGCAGCAATCCAGTCTTGATGATCCCGGAGGTCGACGTAGACGTCCGGCTTGCCGAACGTGCCGCAGGGCGCCCCGTCCACATTCAGGCCCACCAAGAAGTCGAGCTCCGGATTGCCATTATGAAGCTCGTATTTGGGCATGTCCATCAGCAGCATAGGGGACCCCGAGTCGACTGAAAGCACATACGTGCGCAGCACATGCCAGTAAGCAATCAATACTGCTGATCTGCTGGCGCAATGGCAAACAGCTCACTGATGCAGCCCAACGGAATCAATTTACTCTCAAGCAATAATGCATGAGAAGCTCGGAATTGAATCCTCTTAAAGGGGGAATCGCCAAAACTGGTATAAAGAAGTCTGGGAGATTGGCAGGTGCGCAACCAAAACGGTGAAAAAGAACGGAACACTATTGAATATATGGAAACTCGCCATCATGATCACGATAAACCAAGGATAATTTTAAAAGCGTTGGAAGAAATTCCTGCGGTCATTAGTCTTCTGAAGCGGCCGTTGGTAGCTCGCCTATTAACTAACTTTCGTGCAAAATGTCGGTAAGGGGGTCACGGAAAACAACAGAACATGCATCCTCTTCTCTTTTTGTGCACTCAGAAATGGCGATGTTGTGCACAAATTTCCTTGTTTTCTGACGGCCAATCTTCAGCACAACCGTTTTGCCCCGAAAAACACATAGTCGTAATGTTGCGCACAAGTGCAGCCTTTCGGACCTTACCGATATTTTGCACGAAAGGCTGTTTATTGATGGAGGCAGGCAAACAGAGGAAAGACTGATGCTGGGGCCCAAAGAATAGATCACTAAAAAAGGGTCAAATTACAAGTGTTCAAACGTGTACAAAGTTTGCGCTTTTGGGGTATTTTTGTGTTATTAGCATGCAGAACTTTAATGAAATATGTTTCATTTTTGTTTGCAAAAGTGCTATTTGGCCCTTTTTTTAGTGGATTGTGCAGAAATTTATGCATTATGACAGACAAAATAGGGAAATGATATTGGACAAGTTGTATCGCCAAATCACCCAATTACTTGTGTTCCCCAAGGAAGCCAACGATCAAGGCTTGAAGTGGCTTTAAGATGCTTATTTCGTACACGGTGCAGGCTCGCCTGTTGGGTACTTAGTATGAAGGCCCTCCAATTCCAAAATCATGTGAATGTGAAATTCATGTTCCCCAGTGGACCAGATTTCTCAAAACCTCCCATTGTGGAGGTGACATTAAAAATAACATGTGAAAGCTATTGAATGCGCAATCTCGTACAACGCTAACCACAAATTATTCATACCCCATTCTGTGGCAAGCGGCATGGGTGGAAGAAATCCAGATTCAATAGTAGTGTATGTTAAGTGCATTCTCAAGGTCACAGCTCATTTCTCTTGGAGGCATGTAAATGCGCAGTGCCTCTCTTAGTGACCATTTTGCTTGGTCTTGATGGGGTTACCATTGACAGAATGCGTTCGAAGTACTGACGGCCTATCCACATGAGACACTTTGAGTCCGAAATTGCTTTGCCTTGGCAGGTGCTATTAGAGCTGCATAGCGAAACTCACACCAAAAGACAAAACAGGAATTTATGTTTCTTCTTGCTGTTGAAATCAAAGTAAACCAGAGCGGTGTCTAAACCCAAGCGAGTGCGATGAGCGCTTTCATCATTAAACTACTGGCAACAAATGCGGACAAGCATCCGGAATCTCCAAGCAGGACGGCGCTATATGCCTCAGGACGTGAACTCCTGCCTAAATTTAAGATGGCGAAAACAAATCGGAGCATTCCGCGCACCTATGCACGATGCCGATCTTTGTGCGTTCAGGCCACAAAAGAGCCCATCCTCCATTTCGCTCTTCCACATCGTCGCGTTGCAGCGCCTCGAGTCGACAAACTCCTGCGGCTCCAGTGACTGGGACGAGAAAATTTCGCCTCCCAGGACCGGCCCGGTGCTGGAGGCGCCCCATCCCCCGGCAGACAGCATCTGGCCAGTGTTCAGTGAGAAGTGGTCCACCAGCATCTTGGGAATGGGCTGCTTAGTCACCTTAGGCAATTTGAGCAGCGCCAGATTGAAGGCCGATCTCTGTTCATCTTGGGTCCAACGCGGGTGGATGAATGATTGCTCCACGACTACCTACGTCGACGCAGCAGTTTCATTTACCATACAATGACCGATGTTGATATACTATGAAGCTGCTCGTTTTCGTACGTCGTGCGATCTCGCTCCCAAAGGCTATGTATCGTGTAAATAATCCTTGTGCCGTTACATTGGCGAGAACTGATGTCCAAAAGGACATCATACAAAAATTTTCGATATCCCAACGAGAAGTCCGAAACCGAGACACAGCGTGGTCGCATCCTCTTCGCCATGTCTTAGGAAATGCGGAGCACCCATCATCCCCAAACCTGCCCACGCTAACCGCCTTTAGATGCACAGCATCCCTTTGGCAGCCACTGCCACTTTGACAGTGAACACTAATGACCGTATCCCCAGTGACCGACAGGCTCGGCTTCGCATTTTGAAAGAGTAGATGCGACGGGCTCCCCAAATGTGCTGATTTCCGATCCCGTCATCTTCTGAGTGTAGTTTGGGCCCCGCCACATCTTCCCTCTGATGTACAGACCTGAATCATCATTGAAACCCAAGCATACCAAACACTCCAAACACACCAAACACATAAGACCGTCATGGACGCCCTGGCCTTTGACGCCGTGGAATGTGTCTGGAGTGCGGCTTTCAGCGCACCCTAATAACTTCGCACCCTTGGAAGCCTCGAGGATCGAGGATCTGCTCCAGGGTCGACAGCTTATTTGGCCCTTGTCAAGCCCCGAACTGACCCCTGTTTGCAACTTCATCACGAGAGCTGTGTATGCAAGAGTGGTGTAACAATGAGTAATTGTGTCCAAATAGGCGTTTCAGTGTTTGCAATTTTTGCGAGCAAAGAATTAAAAGCAGAGACCGCAAAGTAATGGGCATACAGTTCACATGGAATATCATGCGGATGCATGCCCAACTTTATTGCTCTCAATTGCTCCTTTTGTTCGTTTGGGAGAGATCAAAAAGTTAGGCCTTCTAGAGAGCGTTTTCTGATCCTGTCTCTGTGGACTATTACTTGGACATCCCACGAAACAAGTCCTGTATTGTTTTTTATTAAGGGAATGAACATCCTCAATATTCTTGTCATATCCAGGACATTCCTGATAATATCGGAATGCGCATATCCAGGATATGCTCAAATAGGTGAGGATGTGAGCACGCCCATCTCGACAACGATTTTGCAGTCTTCCAGCTGCCTTCGGACAGAGAAGCATTGCCTTCAATGAAGGCGGTCTCAGGGTGAACACTTGAGACGCTTCTGTGGCCATTGCGACTGCAGGCAGTCAGCGGAGAAAGCTTGAAGCCTCTTTTTCTGGGCCGGAGCCAATGGGCGCCCTAATTCTTTGTATTTTTGAAGCCTGATCTTGTTGTTGGAGAGCGTCCTCAACGCTCGGAAGCACAGCTACACACGAATATTCAAGGGTGTCTGATTGAATCTTGGTATAGGCAGAGTGTTTGAAAGTGATACATGTCAGTTGCTGGGCGGTGGAGGAAATGTCATAATTCTCGTAGACAATCAACGGTTGATTCATAGATTCATTCATATGACACATGAGTGATTATAAATTCTTCCAATGAGAGCTTCTTGAATGCGCTTCAATGCAGCGGAAGCGTTGGGATGGGCCACAGAAACGAGTAGATGTCGTAGGAGATATTGCAACTTTGAAAGTGGAGGCGAATATCAGGAGTTGCTAAGGGACAACATATTCAGCGACACAAATTGATTAAGATCGTGACAAAAAATTGAAGGTTCTAGAGAATCAATTGCACGCAATGAACATGTGCACATCTACTGCACACGAACTGTAAATGTTGGAATGTATTGCGGTTAAAACATTGGTAAACAACAGAATCATAATTCCTGTAGGCAATTTTAATTGAAGCTGTAAAGTTTGAAGAAACTGATAGTTATGGCGGTATATTTTGCATTTTTCCAGGATTTGCATCACGAGTTTGACTGGTGGCTTCACCGCAATAGCTCTCTTCAGACAGGAGAATCGCTAACCTGATCACCAATGTGGCACCCCCTCAATCGCTAGGAAGAAAAAGCCAAATAACATGTGCTCAAACGTGCAAAAATTTTACGAGTTTGGGTTTTTTGTTTCTCAGCGTGCAGAAATTTGATGAAATATGTTTTGCGTGTGTTCCCAATAGTGTCTTTTGGTCCTTTTTTTTGCTAGTGAATCCTGCAGGATTGACCAGCTGGTTGATTCAAGCGCGACATTTCTACTCATACAACATTAGGAAGAAAAGGGTCAAATCGCATTTCTGCGAACACACATAAAACACATTTCATCAAAGTTCTGCACGCTAAGAACACAAAAACAACACAAACCCGTAGTAAACTTTGTAAACGTTTGGACACGTGTTACTTGGCCCTTTTTTTCCTAGTGCAAGGCGTCCCTTCAATCAAATCATAATTCGCAGTTTGCTCCCGCTGACGTGAGGTGGCTGCGTTACCTCCATGCCGGTGTCTGAGACGCTCCTCGCTCCAATAAGCACCAGAGGCTTCTTGCCTGCTGCATATGGAGACAAAGGGTTCACGCAGTGAGCCACTGTCAGAACCCATGCGACTCCTATTAGAATGCCACTGCACACGTGATCGTGTGAGCCGGCTCGGCGGATGGAGACGAGGTATGGCAGTCGAACGGCCTCATGTGCCTGTTGGGAATGACACAAACGCATACGTTTTTGCGTACTGCATGTAGGGCAAAAATGTGTGTGCAAATGTACATTGCAATAGGCATCGCATGCGCCGATTGAAAACGCAGCCAGGTAGGCCTCACGAGCAACATTTCAGCGGTATCATAACCATAAAGACAGCGAAGCGGTTCAGAATACAAAATAACCAATTCTAGCTAGATCGCAACTTCATTGAGTTTGCCCATGAATTCAAGTTTTGAGCTGAAGCACGACTGTGGAGGTGCCATGGAAGCTTCAGGAAAAATATAGAAATATAAATATGCTACTTAGTCAGCAATTTATGATGTCATCAGTCTCTTGAAAGCTTTGGAATCCCCAGTAAAACCCCCCGCCGCAATCGAAAATCGACATGTCTGGTCACGAAACTTCCACCGACTAGTCAAAGGATACCAATATTTTTGTTTGCCAATCCATTCCAACACCAAATGCAAAACGTCAATCTCTCTTGACCGATTCCCAACATGTCGGCAAGGGTGAGTCAAAAGACACGGCCAGAATTGTCCAAGTGTCACTGCCTGTTGACCTGGCCCTGCTGTATTGGATCCCCACAATGCCCTTTCGGAAGGAGCAAATGTCGAAATCGGAATTTGGATCGCGGATTTCAATACTTGGCGATGCAAATGTCCTGTGAATGCCACTTAACAAAGAAGGAGATATGTCGCTAGAGTCGTGAAGTAACAGTACCCAAAGTACGTGCTTTGCTAAGTGACAATGAGTAACTGTCGAGCAGGTCGGATTTCGACACTGCTTTTGGAATTCGAATCCATTCAGAGCATTCGATCAACATATCATCAAACAAAAAAGACACGATATGCTGGCCAGCAAGCAGGAAATTTTTCTGGGACATTATCAGATTTACAGGGGATGGTGTTGTGGCTGGAATCCACGAATACGCAACATTCCAGTTCAATGAATCAGTTGACGCAAGGATTCATGGCTACGACACCAAAATATTCTTATGGCGATGGCGTGGTCCTCATGAACTTCTGCCAAGCATCGCATATAACTAAAGAACGAATACTACATAGATTTGCGGGCAAAAGTTTTAGTTGTCCATCCATCCGCTTATTCAAGGGAGCATCATCAGCAGAGCAGAGGAAACTGGGCAATAGCAATGTATCAAGGCACTGGCCCTTTCGTACCCCACATTCAAAGTAGAGTTACCCAGTCACTGGCTAATTCTGATGGTGAATAAGAAACCACCTATATTGTCCACAAAGGTTCCCACCCATACCAACAGCAGCATCCGGCACGTTCTGAGGAGGCTAATTGCGTGACCTTGCACTAATCTCCCCCCCTCCCCGGCTGGACATGGACACGCATCGTGCAGACATCTGAAAGCTCCCCGACTATGCTTCTCATCATCATTTCTCATTGAAACGAATTCGATTAATTGAACAGGTTCCTTTCTCTGCGCTCTTGCCCGTTCCGCTGAGCGCACAGTGTCGCCACATGGAAGCTGGTTCAGCCCCCCACGCGGAACTGGTCCGTGGGTCAGCTCGGCTGCGACCGACTGCACAGCCGCGTGGTGTCGCCTCTGGGGCCCGACCGTCTTCGTTCCGAAGTGCGCGATTATCCGACGGGGACCCACGGCTCGCCGGCGCACATCCACAACTATCCCCCTGGATCTACCTTGGCAGCATAAACATCGTCTGGTTGTCCTCCGCCTCCCAAGGCAGCACCTGCAAAGATCGGGACGGCCGTGAGCGCAGCGCCTCTCAGAGTCTCAGAGCGGGTATCTGGCCTGTCTTGAACCCCAAAACGACGGCTCAGCGCCCCATGCCGCGGCGGTTGGAAATTTGCGGGCAAGGCGCGGGGTGTCCCTCGGGCACCCGCGCTGGTCGCGCCGTGCACTCGGACGCTGGAGTGCGGGATTTGCGCAGGAGCCTCCGCCGCGTCAAAGAACTCAGCGTCGTGGCCTTTACGCCAACGGCGAGGTACCCACAGAACGTCGTACGCCCAGCCGCTCCCAGCGCTCTGGCGCAAGCAAAGCATCGTTTTCGAAGTCCCGAAGTTCACTCGATCGCCGAATCCTATACAACTATGGTTGGTGCCCCAAAGGCGGCTTGCACTGCGCTCCGCTGTCAATTCCCACTTTCGCACCCTCTCCCGACGGCCACAGCTGCAACGCCTGCGGCGAAGGCCTTCATCACTACGCTGACCACACAGGCCGAGCAAGACGCTGAAAGCCGAGAATGAAAGCTGGAAGCACGGCAGGGCCCGGGGACCCATTATTCAGTGGGTTGCGACACCACCCACCACCTTCCAATCAGTCTTCCCTTCGCACATGGTCCAAGATTGACTTTGCTCGTCCGTTTCGCAACGGCATGCAGGTCCGGAACAAGCCCGCATTGGTGGAATGCGGCTCATCGACGGGGGCACCTGTGGCAGGGGCAGCGAGCGCCAAGATGAAGGCAAAGGCGACGGCGGCATTTCCAGCCGAGAATCCGCTGGCCTCAAACTCGCGGCGGGGACGCCACTGCCAGTCACGTCTGCGGGCCACGCCAAGTTTGGCATGGATGGGGAGGTATGCCGTGCTCCGCCGGAGCCGGCTCGCCATGCCTTGGGCGCAAGGAGGGAGGCCGAGGGGCACTCCTTCGAAATTGCGTGTGCTTTGTGTTCAGAAGCGAGTGCGGGAGCCAGAATCCACAGGCGGACAAAAGGGTCTGGGTCCAACGCGACACATGAGCTCACCTGCGATGAGCCCCTTGCGGTATGGGCTGGATGTCTGGCCCTTTGCCCACATCCTTCTGACAGATACAGATTCACAGCAATACACTGGAACCCCTCCCAACAACTTCCTGTACTTTGCGTACAGGGTGAAAGCCACGCGTAGCTCCATCCATGTGCAAGGTAGCTGCAACATCCTTCGAAATTTGCCATCCATCACGTCGTATGTCCCACATGTGGTGACAATTCACAGGAGCAGCGGTTTGGAGAAAAGCGAGCTGGAAGCACCACGAAGCAGATTCTGAACCGAAGGACCACTCAGCTTAAGGTAGCTGGAGGTGATTGTACAGCCTATGAGCTGCGCTTGAATAACAGTATCCCAGGGGCGAAATCGAAGCATCAAAGTGAAATTGTAGTGGGAAGCGGCATTATAGTAGGAAATGTCCAAGCCCGGGGGTTTGCCGTGCCCGATGCTGTGGATCGTGGAGCGATGGGCGTGCACCAGGTGTGGGCGGGGTCTCCTGGAACTCTGGGGATTAACCGCCGCCGCCGCCGTTCTCTGGGTGGCGCTGCACAGGGGCTCGAGGCCCCTATTTTGGGGGGGGGGGAGGGGAGTGGCATTTGAGCGGGGCGGCTTTTGGAGGGGGCAGGGGCGGATACGTTGCGAGATTTTTATTGTTGTGACATCCGTCTTACGCATACCCCACACCTTGCCCCACCCCACCCCCCGATTGGCCATGTACTGTTATTACCCTGTGGGCAGGGAAGCCAAAACGGAGCAATACAAGGCTGTAGATACTGATTTTGTGTCATGGATGCCAACATGAATGTAGTAACAGAGAGTGTCGTGGATATTGATAAAGAGTTGGATATTAAAAACGTTTAAACAGCAGTTCTAGCCATTCTGAATTCTCTTTAAAAGCTCCATAGTGTTGAGTAAACTCATAAGTGGTGCTCTTATCCTATTTTCATGGATATTGATGAGCACTGTGTACATTTTGTATTTTGCAAGTATGACCTCGCAACAAATTGTTTCATGTAAATCTGGTCACAGAACTATGCCTATATGCCACATTATCATCAAATTTGCAAATACGTTCTTGGCAATTGCCGGAAGCCATTTCTACATCTCTAATTTCACAATCGTGAGTAGCCTCAGACAGTGGCGTAGGCATTTCAACTACACTATGCTCGCTGACTCTTTGAGTGGGTTCGATTGTCGCATGCTTTTTGCGATGGCGATGAAATGGAAATGTTTGCGAGCATGAAAAATTTATGGATGTGCTCCAAACTCAGCCTGCAGGCGGAAGGCAGCGATTTTTCTGTCTACATATGTATTTTTTATTACAGAGAGAACTCATTTATCGAATGCGAGCTGCGGCACCGCACTTTTGACCACCACTCACAGAAGGCATTGTAGCGATAAGTTTGTTACACTTAGGCAACTATTAGTAAAATTAGCCAATATTTGGAGTCTTTCTGTGGCAAAAATTACAGCCAGATCTGAAGTATGGAATATTGCTGAGGGTATTGAGTTTGTGGAATATGTGCATTCTTGCCGTTTCTGTCGTTTCACGAACAATTTTCAAGAAACAAACTCTCATCCAACCTGCGGAAATTCTGCCAACGCATGTACAACAGACTTACAAAAGCGATCGCACTTGTCTAAACACACGAGAATGTCGTGCAAGGTGCGTGATACCAAGTCAAATGACAAAATCGGTTGCCCACATCCCAATTCAAATGCTGCTGACAGTTTCACAGCAGGGGCCGAGCAAGACAGCTTGCGCTTTCCATACTAAATAAAAAGCTGCCCTAAGACACCACCAAAACAATCGCACATACCAAGTCTCCCAAAAAACTTGATTGCTATCAAAGGGCGCTTTTCGTCAGGCCCTGGCTCAAGCACTCAACAGGCGAAACCCATTGATTAGTAAAGTGTTGATGACGGAAAAAGATTGAGCAGAATATGGCTTCAGTCCATTCAGAAATTTGCCCTAGGCCAACGTTGCGCCAGCTAGATGTGCCCATCGTCTTGGGCGCCAGCTTTGCAGCCGGCGGTAAGTTGTGTGACCAAAAAAATCAGCGCACCTAGACATTACACATGCAACTGCCGTTGCCGCATTCTGTTCGCCCGAAACGGTGCGATCTTCCCAATGGGAATGCTCTTGCCGATCTACTCCAAGGTCGATTGCACCAGTATGAACAGGTAATCGATGACAGCCTCCCAACTGGGTCTCTTGGCAGGTTCCAAGGTCTTGCAAGACTGTATGAGGGTGACAAGCCCCCCGACGGCATCCAAACCACCTCCTTCTTCGATGTCCTCAATGCAGTCCTCCATGACTCGCCCAAACGAGTACACGTCCAGCATCTTGCCGTTCACCTTTCCCTCCTTGGCTGGGGAGCTCCAGAGGCTCAGCACTTCAGGAGCGAAGTAGCCGGGCGTTCCTTTGAAGTGCCCGGTGCATTCCGTCCTCTTGCGCAGCTGGGAGCACCCAAAGTCTCCCACCTTTGCAATGTACCGGCCATCCTCCTCGGTGATCAGCACGTTCGAAGGGTTGAGGTCGCAGTGTACCACATTGCAGTCGCGCAGATGCTTCATGCCTCGGGCAATGTCCATGAATAGCTTCAGAAAATCCCCTTTGGTCATCGTGTGTGCGTTGGGGCCGCCTGACACCAGCTGCCAAAGGGTCATCTGCATCCACTCCATGACAACGAACACTCGGCCGTCATCGAGGTTACCGAATCCGAAGTACTTAACCACGTACTCGCTCCCTTGGGAGGCTTCCATGATTCTGCATTCGTCCGGAAATGAGCTGCCACCGTTGCCAGAGTTGCTGAATATCTTGACAGCCACGCGCACCGTGGTGCCCTCATAGGCTTTGTTCGTCATGGTGCCTTCGTAGACCACACCTGACCCGCCACTGCCGAGCTCTCGGTTGCGTATCCTTACGCAGCTAGTACCACCACGAAATTCGACTGTGGCTATGTCACTGTTGGCTGCGGCCACAGCGGGAGCGCCATGCTCTTGTGCAGACGCTTCATACCCGCGCACCAACCAGCATGATAGCAGCACCACGGCGACTAGAAGCACTGCAAGGACCTCCAACGGGCCTGAAAGGACTGTGCTGAGGGAAGGACGGCAGAAAGTGAGGGCACGCGAGATCGCGCACC